AATTTTTTTTTTTTTTTTTTTTTTTTACATGTAAATTTTTATTTCCCCTTGAAACAATAAATTTTTTTTTTTCAAATTCTTTCGCTTAATCTTTACCATTAATAGTAATTATTTTGAAACAACAACACACGTTGAAAAAGCAAGCAATCGTAACTTGCATGATCTACAAAAGAAATGACGGCAGGTAATCGTAACATTTGCATTATTTACAATAATCGAAGGAAGGGCGGTGCCCCCTGATCGTATGTAAGGTTCGAAGGATAGACGCTTTGAGAGACCTAATACGTTTGTCGTACACTTAGATAAGAGATTTTGTTTTACTGTTACACCTTTTTCCTTTTTTATTACTTTGTGGCTTGACTTATTCTTAACAATTAGACAGTTTCATACATTTCATACATTAAGAATATTTTAAACTTTGTTATTTAGACAATAAATTCAAAAGTCAAAGAAGTTTCAAAGTACATTTTATTGGATGTGCAAGTCAAAAGTTTCATATATCTTCCAACTGTGGTTATTCAAAGTCCCCCATTGTATTATCAATAAAAACTTTATCAGTTACTTGAAACAAAATACGGTGCAATTCGTAGCAAATATTGTGTCAATTACAGTATTTCACACAAACATAATTTTGTGTATACGAATTCTCGGCGTGTTCCATTATAACACGTCATCGTATTGATGATCTTTTGACAATGATTTTATTGATTTTATTTAACTCCGGCTATTTATTATTTCCGCCGGTATACTAAAATGTTTTTAAACTCGGTGAAAACTAGTACTACGCGTATTGTGACATTCTAAAATGCCGCAGAAGTTAGCACATGATTTTTGTGATATTTATATTTAGTTACTTTATTGTTATTTACAGATTTCTCTAAATTTAGTTTATCTTTTTTTATTTATATTTTTTTTTTTTTTGTCACGATTGCCCAAAGATCGCGATAACTTTAAATATTATTATTCGTAAATTCGATAGAGAAATTAAAGAATTAAAAATTTATAATATATATACTGTATACATATATAATTAATATATATATACATATATGGTTTATAAATGTACATACTTATATGTATTTTGTATGGAAGATTATCAATTATTCTCCCACGATAACCTAATTAACCCACGGTAATGGCAAATTTATACTAATCACGTAAGTCATAAATATACATTTCTATGGCTTTTCTATGGTATTTCTATGGTATTTCTTCTATGGTATTAATGTATTAATTTCCTCTTTTAATTTTGACTTATCTAGAAATCTTGTGTAAGATTATGCAATAACATAAGATGTATGATTAAATAGAAATACAATACTTTAACCTTTTTTTTAATAGATCGGATTCTTTATTTTATCAAAAAGAATTTTCTCTCTCTCTCTTTTTTCATACTGTATTCAAAAAGGAATTCTCTACCGAATGTTGCTAATTTCAAATCATGTGATTTTTTTAGTTTATTGATTTTTTTAGGTAATTTCATTGAGGATTGTTAAAATGAAAATATAAATCAATAATAGAATGTTCTACTTAAGTGAACAAAGGGAATTTAATTTATTCATTCTAATTCAATTTTGCATTAAAATTAATTTAAAAATAAATTATCTTTAAAAAAAGTTCAACTTTCTTTAACATCTAATTTTATTAGTTTAATGTATAATATAGTTTTTCCGCGATATAATAATATAATAATATAAATAAATATTATTAAATTTATTATTATTATAATAACCATTTTTAATTATTATAATAATAATAATAATTATTGTATAATCATAAATTATGACGTAAAAAAAGGTTTTCCTTTGTTTCCTTTTTTAATACATATATATGTACTATATATAAAATATCAGCCTAAGGGAAAAAAAATGAAAGCTTATTTGTTAACCCGTATAATGGATCATGAATCATATGGATTTATTAGTACCTTTTGTAGTTTTTGTACGAAGTCTTTGATGTACGTATTCATGACGCACGTACAAAAATAGTATACCACGATTTTTTGTCATTTTTGACGAATAAGGTCAAGAAATTGTCGAATATAAGTAATAATAATGAAATTTTTTTTGACCACCAAAATAACTAAAAAGGGGTTGATCAGATGTCAAAAAAAAAAAATTCTCCTTTTTTTTGAGTTTTTTTTTTTTGGGCGAAAAAAATTCAACTATGCAATGTTAACGTCATCGTTAGTACGTACTACGCACAGTTCTTGGCCGGAATTAGTTCATAATTTTAATTAATATCACATGATGTATTTGAAAGTTTTAAATTTAGTTATAACGAATGACGATTTTTTATAAATTATAATTTCCTTGTAGTCTAACGTTTTTATTCCTGCTGTATGTTGTTCTATGTATTATAAATAATCATGTAAATATATTTCTTAAGTTTTATACCTCGTGTACATGATTTTTTCCCTTATACATGATTTTCCCCTTGTACGTGATTTTATCCTCTTGCACGTTTAAAAAATCAAAGCAAAGCTTCTTTATTATATTTTCTCATAAATTATTACATGAAGAAAAGGCCGTCCGGATATGTAAAATGGAAAATTAAACGGGTAATGGTTGTTACTCTACATACTTCCATAGCATCATACATTTCACTGTTCCCTTAAGAGTGTCCTTAAAATAGACCGGGGGTTCAGGTTCTTATCCTAGATCACACGCGGAAATTTCTATGCTATGACTTATCTACAGTATCTAACTTTCCACAAGATCACTTGTTACTTACTAATCTTAACGGAAAAAAAAACATTATTTCATTTTTGTTTATACAACAACGCACTAAATAAATGTAAGCAAAAATAGCATATAAATTTTTTATTATTCGTATATAGTCAACAAATCTTAAGTGAAACTCGCTGGCTAAAGGTATTAGAATCTAGACAATGCAATTTAAAACAGCAAATCGAACATGATACAGATCAATGACAATGGGGTTAGGTATAGTGGCAAAGGGGTTAGGTGGAGGAAGTTGAGGAGGTGATGGCGGTGGTGGATTCAAAACATTAGGTGGTACCCCATGATAAAGGCATGCCAATTGAATGTTGATAACCCTTTGCCCAGGTTGCAAGTTGAGAATTGGAGTTCCCTGAAGGTCAATGGTTCCAAATTCATACTAAATAAAAGAATATCTCACATTTTATCTGCTTTTAGTAAAAGTTAAATCTGTAAGAAAATAAATTTAACATACCATTGTGGGATTAAATCCACCAATGTCTTGATTATTTATACAATAATGATAGGCCTATTAAGAATATAAACCAATCAGATAGTACTAAAGAAATTGAGCAAAAATCAAATCTTGTCATTTCTTACTGTCATCACTGAAGGAGTTGTAACTGGTGTGATAGGTTTATCTATAACAATTAAGATTACATCATGAACTCGGTCAGGTTGAAGCCAGTATTGTTCAACTTTTCTTCTAACTCTCTCCATATCTTCTGTATATGCAATCTCTACTACTAAATTAGGCCAGGGTTGAGTCTAAAAATATAATATTATATCAATACTATAAAATCTTAAAAAATTAAAATAGGAAATGAATAAAGTCAATAAGACAATAACTTTACATACACCAGTAGTGTCAGAACCACCTGCATTGACTGGAGGTTTTGATACTGGTCGCCATGATGCATCCGCTTCTTTTCCTGTTTTAGAAGTTTTTGTATCTTTTTGCTAAAGATAATTAGTGATAAATTTAACTAACACTAATAGTATCAAAAGAAACTAACAACACTTACTTGTAGCTCCAAGATAAAACAAATCAGCGTTAGTGCTCATTACACCACCAGTTGCTAAAGAAATTTGCCGGGATATGGCACCAATACAATTTTTATGAAATATTGAGGGTAATTTAACAACACATACAGTTCCATTATTCCACTCCCACCAGCCATGAATATTATATTTATCTGTATGTTTGACATAAGTATCATAAGGTACTTCAGTAGCAATCTTATATGGTAATCTTAATAATAAATAACAGTCAACAATTAGCTTATAAAAATAACAAAATTGTTGAAGCAAATAATAAATTGACTTACATTGCCTCTTCCCACCTGGCTTCTGGGTAAATTTGACCAGTTTCCCACCAGTACTTGCGATATTTTTTCAGTTTGTTAGACTCAAAGACATCATCAACATCATCAATATCAATGATATCAGAAGTAAAAGAGATAGCTGCAGTGTCTTGGATTGATTGAATATTTTGATTAGTTGACATATTTTTCAGAATAGTAAAATTGTTATTTCTGTATAAAGTTATACTACAAGTTTAATATAAAGAGAAGGTTACTGATTATTAATTATATTAATTATTCTAAAGCTTTCTGTTACACAAAATAGTAATCTACAATCACATGCTAATTTTTCTGATATAACTTTAAGAAAACAGTAAAATGTATGATGCTATGGAAGTATGTAAAGTCTAAACCTTGAAACAACCATTATCCATTTTGTTTTTCATTTTACATAACTAATCGGCCTTTTCTTTATATAATACTTTATGAGAAAATATAATAAAACTTTGCTTTGATTTTTTAAACATCATATATAAAATCATAAAAATAAATGATTTTTATTATAGATAATAAAAAATAAATACAAAGACTCAAAACTTTATCAGTGATAGAATTATAAAATAAAATAAAATACAAAGATTTAGGACTTTATCTATGGTATATAATTTGGATAAATATTGTTTACTGAAATTTCTATCCTAAGACTTAACTATAATGTCTGAATTTTCTGCAAGATTGTATGCTTTTTTATTACTTTCTTATTAATAGCTGAATCCATCTTTTGTGACTTTTTCAACAATCAAATAATATGACTAAAACCTTTTTTACCATATTTTTATACTCACTTCTTCATATGTAATAAACAGAAGTGGTTTTAACAATTTAAACAATAATTTTTTTTAATACTTTTATATATATTCTATAAAGTATTATTTCTCTACATCTATTATGATTAAAGATAATACTGCAAATAGGTAATTGTAAAATAATTGTGATATATATGAATTCTTTGCAGTAAAAAAAGACAAAACTACTGAAAAAATTTAAATTTTCTTTTATATGCCAAAAATATTTTAAATGCTATAATAATTCATTTAGACTTTATATTAACTCATTTTTTATTTTTTTTAGTAGTTTCAACCCTTTTTATTGCAAAGCGTCCATATGCAATATTGTAGAATATTGCAAATTTTAAAGACTATATATTCGCAATTTTGCAATTTATAATTATTTGCAATTTGCAATTTTTCCACAATTTCACAAATAATTTGCAATTTAACAATTAATTATGAAATTGCAGATTATTTGCAGAATTGCAGATTACTTGCAAAAAAAATAATTTTTTAATAAATGTAATTTTTTAATTTAACTAATAAAAAATAAAAAAATTCAGTTTTTTTTATTAATAAAATTTTTTTTAAAAAAGTCAGTTTATTTTTTAAAAAAAACATATCAGCTGATTAATTTAATAATTATTAATAATCTAGTAACAGAAAAATTAGACTATCTGATAATTTTTTTTTTATTTTATTGATCTAGAGAACTATTTTCTAATTATGATAATGAATTGTATTATGCAATTAAATTTTTTTTTATTTAAAAAAAATTTACCAATTTTTTTTTTGTAAATTTTGACCTAAAATTTAGAAATAAATATAAATGTCTCTAAAAGTATTTTTTGTTTTTTTATATAAGAACGTTTATTAATATTTTTTTTACATTTTTTGTAAATTTCAGCCCAAAACTTGAAAGAAAGAAAATGGTTTTTTTTTGTTTTTTTTTATGTAACTTATATAAGAATGTTTATTAACATTCTTTTACTTTTTTTTTTTATAGATTTTGATCTGAAACTTGAAAGTAAAGATCAGTTAATTATAAAAATATTATTAATTATTAAAGAGAATATTATATAATAATGTAATTAATAAATAAATTATATATAAATAAATATACAAATAAAAATAATTTTAAATAATGAATAAAAGATAAAATAAATGAATAAAATTAATAAATAAATATTAAAAAAATATTCTTAAGGATTTCTTAATGGTAAATTTAAAATTCTTAAGAATTCTATAGAATTCTTTTGATAAGAAATCCTCACTGATAGGAAAAGTTCTTTAGGAATCCTTACTAATTATAAAATTTTTAAAATTTCTAAGGATCTACATTCCAAAAAATTTACTAATAATAATAAAGATAAAAATAATTATGGGAGTAATGATAAAAATTATGAATATAATAATAATGAAAATTATGAGAATAATGATAATAAAAACTATAAGAATAATAATAATAATAATAATAAAAATTATGAAAGTAACAATAATGAAGGTGATGATAAAAATTATAAAAATAATAATAATGAAGGTGATAATGAAAATTACGATTAAAGCTTTGAACAGTTCAGGCTAAATTGGAGAACTGATCTGAAACTGGCTCAAAATTCAGTTCGGTTCAGTTTAATCTGATTTTTATAAAAATATGAAAAATTGAATAGCCATCCATCTAGTGATCATACAAAGTCAAGCTATATATCATTTGATTTATCTCAATAAGACATGTCAAATGGTGGTAAGATCATATCTCTAGCATCAATAGATCACACGTTAATCCACACTAAATAATTTATTAATAATTGGAATTAGCAAGCCATCTATCAGTGCTAGAGACATGATCTTAACACTATTCGACACGTCTTAGTGAGATGAATCTAATGAATATTAATTCATCTATGTATAATCACTGGATGGTGAATAATATCAAGTTTCACATTTTTTTAAAATTTCCGAACATTAAAAATTAAAAATTCTGATACATGAATTTATTCATCATCTAATAGTCATACAAATATGAATTAGGACTCATTAGATTCGTCTCAATGAGACGAGTTGAATGGTAGTGAAATCACGTCTTTAGCATCGATAGATAGCTTGCTAATGCCAATTTTTTATAAATCATTTAGTGTGAATTAACTTACGATCTATTGATGCTAGAGATATAATCTCACCACCATTCAACTCATCTCATCGAGATGAATCCAATGAGTTCTAATTCATATTTGTATAACTATTAAATGACAAATAAATTCATGTATCAGAATTTTTTATTTTTAACACTCAAAAATTTTAAAAAAATGCGAAACTTGACATTATTCGCCATCCAGTGATTGTACATGGACGAATTAATATTCATTGGATTCATTTCACTAAGACACGTCAAATGGTGCTAAGATCATATCTCTAACACCGATAAATAGAATCATTTAGCATGAGTTAACTTGTGATCTATCGATGCTAAAAACATGATCTTACTACCATTCAACGCGTCTCATCGAGATGAATCTAATGATATATAGCTCGACTTTGTACGATCACTAGATAGACAGGACCCCGGATATCTAATATAAAGGTCATAATGGACTTTTGGCCAAAAATACCCCTTTTTACTGAAACTCAAAAAATCGTTTTTTGTAAATATCTCAGCATCCAGTAATTCAATTTTAATGAACTTTTTTTTATTTTGTAGCCCTCATTTAGCTCTACAATTTAAAAAAATGTTCATCAAAATTGGACCACTGGATGCCGAGATATTTACAAAAAACGATTTTTTGAGCCCCTGAAAAATGGGCCAATCTGCCAAAAGTGTGACTTATGACCTGTTTTGGAGATATCCGGGGTCCTAGATAGACGGCTATTCAATTTTTTGCATTTTTATAAAAATCAGATTAAACTGAATTGAACTGCCAGTTTTTTGGTTCAGTTTTTATGGATAAAGCTCCAATCAGTTCAGTTCAGTTCTATTTTTTGGTTCTTTTCTGATTGGTCAGAATCCGTTTTGCGCAATAACTCACCATCCAGTGATCATAAAAACCCAATTTATAGCTCGTTGAAATCATCTCGTTGAGACGGTTCGAATGGTACCAAAATCATCTTTCTAGCATCGATAAATGGTGAGTTAATTTTGCCAATTTTTTAAAAAATAACTCACCATCTATCAATACTAAAAAGATACTGAACTGAACCGTTTGGAGCTTTATTTACAGATTTCAGCTCTAATCTGAACCGTCTATAATCCAGACCAAACTGACATGTTCAGTACTTAAATTATAATGATGATGAAAATTATGAAGATAATAATGAAAGTTATGATAATTAAGGATGGGTCCACAAATGATTTTCAAATTCCACAATATTGCAGATTTTGGAGTTGAATTGCGGTTAGTAGCCTGCAATTCTGCAATTCTAATGGCTGCCCATAACTGTCAGTTTCATACATTTATAAAAACGCTGGAACTATGGGTTCTGGCATTTTCTTTTAATTTTTTTTACATAAAAACGCCAGAACTATGGTTCCAGCGTTTTCTTTTAATTTTTTTTACATAAAAATGCTGGAACTATAGTTCTGGCATTTTCTTTTAATTTTTTTTTACATAAAAACGTCAGAACTATAGGTTCCAGCATTTTCTTTTAATTTTTTTTTACATAAAAACATCAGAACTATGGGTTCTGGCATTTTCTTTTGATTTTTTTTACATAAAAATGCTGATACTATGGGTTCCAGTATTTTTTTTTGATTTTTTTACATAAAAATGCCGGTACTATAGTTCTGGCATTTTCTTTTAATTTTTTTTTACATAAAAATGTCAGAACTATGGTTTTGGCATTTTCTTTTGATTTTTTTTTGATTTTTTTTTACATAAAAACACCAGAACTATAGTTTTAGCATTTTCTTTTAATTTTTTTTATATACAAATGCTGGAACTATGGTTCTGGCATTTTTTTGATTTTTTTTTAATTTTTTTTATGTAAAAACACTGGAACAATAGGTTCTGTCATTTTTTTAAATTTTTTTTATATAAAAACGCTAGAACTATGAGTCTCAACGTTTTTATAAATTTTTTATATAAAAACGCTAGAACTATAAGTTCTAGCATTTTTTTTTTGACTTTTTTTATTAAAAATACCAGAATTATTGATTCTGACATTTCAATTTTTATTATTTTTTTTTATATAAAAATGCCAGAACTATTGATTTCAGCATTTTTTTAATTTTATAAAAATGCCAAAACTATTATTTCTGGCATTTTTTTTAATTTTTTTTATTAAAATTGCCAAAACTATTAGTTCTGGCATTTTTTTTGCAGTTATAATAAGAGAAAATGCCATTTCTGGCAGTTTTTCCAATTACCGATCCATTTTTTTCTAAAAAATAAAATGATTTTTCTTTTAAATTTTGTTAATGAAAAATGATTTTTTTTTATGATTAATAATAAGAAAAAATATATTTTTTAGTAGTTAAATTAAAAAATTATATTTCATTAAAAAAAAATTAGTTTTTTTGCGGACATTCTGCAAATCCGCAACTATTCCGCAATTCTGCAAATATTCTGCAATTGAATTGCGGTACTTTAAATATTTGTGGATTTGCAGAATATTTGCAGGATTGCGGATAATTGCAGATTTGCAGATCTGCAGATTTTAGATTTAAAAATTTGCAATGTTCCGCAATACCGTAAATCGCAAGTATTCCACAATTACATATTTGCGGCATCATCCTTAATGATAATGAATGCATTATAGACGAAGCATTAAACTAAAATGAATTACCAAATAATAATAGAAACTTTTGGCCATATTTTGAAAATATTACAGCAACATTGCTTTTTTATTAAGTTTATAAACATAATATTTCAATAAGAGTTTATAATGAACTTATTGATATATTGCAATATTCTTAATTTTGTATAAATGATATTATAATAAACATTCAGAGATTTTGAAAATGGAAACAATAATTACCACTTATTTCTATTCAATTATATTATGTTAAAATTTCTATTAAAAAAACACTATCAACAACTTGTAATAGTAAATCAACTTACTACTTATCTATTTTTAATATTATCTGGTATGTCTTAAATAATCATTTTTTATTTAATAAAATGTACTTTAATTCTGCATTAGGAGTAAAAGAAAAGTCTGAATTTTGACATAGTGATCTTTAGGGAGAATTATCTCAATTTAGTCAAAAAACTATTGTAATTAAACAAGATATATACTTTAATATTCAGTTATTTAAATTTTGTAAATTATATATATATACATAATAATTATTAAATCTTTTTTTTATATAGTATTAGTGATTATGTATACTATAATGAAGTTACTAAAAAAAAAGTTTGGATATATTTTGGTGATAATATTTGAAAATAATATTAAAAAATTAAAAATTTAATATGTTTTTACATTTGATAAACTACCAGAAAGTTTTTATATTACAATAAAATAACAACAATCTTGTAATAATACATTTTAGTTATTTGATCATAATGAATATTAGTGTAAACGGTCGAATATTAAGCGTGAATAAATAATATACCAAATAGACAAATGTAAACATTAAGTACTAAGTACAAACGAACTAATCTTGAATCAGCGTGAATGGATAAATGATTAGCCAAAAAGGATAAACATTTAGGAAAAGGAATGATCTACATGATGTAATATTTATTAAATGATTAACAAGGAACCAATAGATTAAGTAGGAAGTCGATCAATTGCGGCTTAGCAACCAGTTTATTGAGTTCAACAATAAGAACAATTAGAAGGAATAATTATAAGCCACAAAAGATAAATTATAAGGAAAACATATAAAATGGAGGGATAGCGGATTAAAGGAACATGCATAATGAAAATACATAAAAACAATAATATAAAAGATAATATGAAAAGATAATATAAAAGATAATATAAAAGATAATATAAAAAGATAATATAAAAGATAATATAAAAGATAATATGAAAAGATAATATAAAAGATAATATAAAAGATAATATGAAAGATAATATAAAAGATAACATAAAAGATAATATAAAAGATGGTATAAAAGATAATACGAAAAGATATAAGCTACAAAAGATGAAATATAACATATTAAAAATAGAAACATATTGAAAAATAGTATATTAAAAAGATGGAACATAAAAGATAACATATTAAAATAGAAACATATTAGAAAGATAACATATTAAAAGATAGTATATTAAAAGATAGCATATTAAAAGATAGTATATTAAAAGATAGCATATTAGAAAAACAACATATAAAAAGAACATAAAAGATAGCATATATTAGAATAGAAAATATAAGAAAGTTCGTATAAATAGAGAGCGGAATTCAAAGTAATTCCATATTATAGATCTCATCCACAATGTAATTTAGGAAGTTCAGAGAAACTCAATTTAATTATTTTTTTTTTAATAAAGTATAATATTAATTAAAGGTAATAGGTTCACCCTAAACTTTAATTAACGTTTGCTTAATTAATTTTAATTGAATAAATTGAAAATTATGAGATGAATTAAATATACACTTTTGTAAAGAGAATTAT